TACATGTAGGGCAATCTGTTTTTAAGTAGGGGTAAATTACTCTTAAAAAAAAAAAAGAATCCTATGAAGGGTAAACAAAGGAGGAGGCTGCAATGCTTGGTAAGAAATGTATGCATTTTCCTGCCCATGTAATTGTAACCCCTCTGTACAGTATGTTTTCAAATAAAATAAAAAAAAAAAAAAAAAAAGAATCCTAGATAGTTTTCCCTTCAAGTCAAGCGTCTTGTTGTTTAAATAAACTTCTTGTTTAAAAAAAAAAAAGAAATGAAAATAATTAAAATAAATATGGAAAATGAAGTTAATATATAATTTTAAAAATTCTGATTGAACAAAATATGAAAATTAAAACTGAAATAAAAATCTTGTCATCCATGGTACTCAGAATGAGTTACGAATATTTAAACCCTTTTATGCTGGGTACTAGTAGTTCATACCTGTAATCCTAGTTACTCCTGGAGGTATTAGTACTCCTGAGATATTAGTATCCCAGATCAAAGCCAACCAGGGTAGACAAATTCAAGAGACTCTAATCTCCAGCTAGCCAGCAACAAGCCAGATGTCGCTCAAGTGGTATAAGATCACTTGAGTCAAAAAGCTAAGGGAGAGGGATATTTAACTTGGTCTTAAGAGCAAGGGACAGCCTGGGAATGTGGTTTAGGGGTAGAGTGCTTGCCTAGCATGCATGAAACCCTGGGTTCGACTCTTCAGTACCACATAAACAGAAAAAGCTAGAAGTGGTGCTGTGGCTAAGTGGTAGAGTGCTAGCCTTGAGCAAAAAAAAAGGAAGCTAAGGGACAGTATCCAGGCCCTGAGTTCAAGCCCCAGGAGTGGCAAAAAAAAAATGCTAAGGGAGAGTACAAGGCTCTGAGTCCAGTAACAGTACAAAAACATACAAAAAACAGATTGATCATGAAGAAAATGCTCAATAGAAATAATGTGAAAAAGATATTAATACACATTTCACAAAAGCAGTATTTACATTCAAATACATGGAAAGTCATATGAACATCTCACTAATCACAAAAGACTAAATAATGATGTGCCTATCAAATTGACTAAAATTGAAAAGTACACAAAGTTCAGTGCTAGTACAAGTGCAGTTTAATGCTGTAGCAGATTTTAAAGTGTCAACAATTCACTAAAGTATACAAAGACATTTTGGTTCACCATATACTACAGGATAATTAACTCTTTTTTTCCAGTCTAGGGCTTAAACACTGGATCTGAGTGTTGTCCCTGAGTTTCTTCTCCTCAAGGCTCATGCTCTATCACTTGAGCTACAGCACCACTTCCAGCTTTTTTGAGTAGTTTATTGGAGATGAGTCTCATGGATTTTCCTGCCTGGGCTGGCTTTGAACCGTGATCCTCAGATCTCAGCTTCCTGAGTAGCTAGGATTACAGGCGTGAGCCACTCACACCTGACATGATAATTTACTTTTTGATAGTTTACTTACATTCAGAGAGTGATTTCTATTTTTATTTCAGCCCAATCTATAACTGTGACATTTGAACACAGAATAACTATTCACTATTTGGGAAAGATTACCTTTGTGCTATCAGTAAGTTGATAGGTAACCCTGTAAATCAGTTTCCATAATACACACACACTACATATTTCAAGCCAACTACACTTAGAGAAGGTGATTCGCCACAATGACCTGTAAGGGAGGTTGAAGGAGATGAGTGTCGTCACCAAGAGCCAGGAGTTTGTCACCGCCTGTTGAGTTGATGGACTCTTCACACAATAAATCTCCTGGTTGCCCCTGTTGATGATATGTAGCAAGCCAGATGTTGCACCCCATACATGCCAGTGAAATGGCCTTTGGGAGCAGTTTTTGGAGGGGTTCGCTCAGTGGTAGAGTGTTGCTTAGCACAGGTGAGACCTTGGGTTCCAGAAAAAGACCAGAATCCATCCACTTGAGCCATAGCACCACTTCTGGTTTTTCTGGTGATTAATTGGAGATAAAAGTCTCATGGACTTTCCTGCCTGGGCTGGCTTTGAATCATGATCCTCAGATCTCAGCCTTCTGAGTAGCTAGGATTACTACCACCAGCACTCAGCCAAAAATCCATTTTTTCAATTGTAAAGATGCTGTACAGAGGGGTTGCAATTACAAGAGTAACGCAATGAGCACATTGCTTCTCATTGTGACCCACTCCTTTGTTTTTTCTCCCGCTATCCCTTCCTTCCCCACTCCTCCCCCTCCCCACGTTGTAAAGTTCATTTCTGACATAGTGTCTTGTGGATATCATTGTTGCGATGGGTCATCCTTTGTCTTTGTTTCAGCATTTTGTTATTTCCTTTCCCCTTCCCCAAATCAGATAAATGTATATACAAGATGCAGAGTACCAGAATCTATCTTTTTTTTTTTTTTTTGGTTTTTTTTGTTTTTGTTTTTTTTTTTCTTCCTGTTGTGGGCTTGAACTCTGAGTCTAGGTGCTGTCCCTCAGCTCTTCAGCTCAAGGCTAGCACTCCACCACTTGAGCCACAGTACCACTTCTGGCTTTTTCTCCTTATGTGGGGCTGAGGAATAGAACCCAGGGCTTCATGCATGTGAGGCGAGCACTCTACCACTGAGCCACCTTCCCAGCCCCAGAATCCATCTTTTGATGACTTTTGAATAAGTTATAAAACTTGGGATGGAGGTTTTTTTCAGCTTCTCCTCTTCCTCTTCTTTTCTTTTTTGACTATGGATGTTCATTGCTCTAGGACCATTTACTAAGCACATGTACTATCCTGTCCTTCTCCCCTGTCTCTATCTCTCCCCCTATCCCCCCCACCCCCATTCCTCTATTACTACACAGTGATGGCTATTCTAGGGGTATGTTATGTAAGAACTATTGATGTATGAACTATTCCTACCACTTTATTGACTTTTTGTTTTATTTTATTTTTGGTCATGGAGCCTGAACTCGGGTCTTGGGCACTGTCTCTGAGCTCTTCAGCTCAAGGCTAGTGCTCTACCACTTGAGCCACAGCACCACTTCCAGCTTTTTCAGTTTATGTAGTGTTGAGGAATCGAACCCAGGGCCTCATGCATGCAAGGCAAGCACTCTACCATTGAGCCACCTTCCCAGCCCTTAGTTGACCTTTTAAAAAAACTGTTTTAGCAGGTAGTTCATGCCTATAATCCAAGCTACTCAAGGGACTGAGATCTGAAAATAATGGTTTGAAGCCTGCTGGGGCAGGAAAGTCTGTAAGACTCTTCTCTCCAATTAACAACTAAAAAACTGGAAGTGGGGCTGGGAAAGTGGCTTAGTGGTAGAGTGCTTACATAGCATGCATGAAGCCCTGGGTTCGATTCCTCAGTACCACATACACAGCAAAAGCCAGAAGTGGTGCTGTGGCTCAAGTGGTAGAGTGCTAGTCTTGAGCAAAAGAAGCTCAGGGACAGTACCCAGGCCCTGAGTTCAATCCCTAGAACTGGCAAAAACAAACAAACAAACAAACAAAAACCCTGGAAGTGGAGCTTTGGCTCAAGGGGTAAAGTGCTAACCTTGAGCAAAAAAGGTCAGGTACAGAGCCTTGGCCCTGAGTTTAAGCCCCAGGTGTTGCACAAAGTAAAAACAAAAATCAGCAGATTTGGAGGTTGAATAGGAGTAGGAATAGGAGTATATGTTTCCAGCAAGCTCTGTGGCTGCTCTTGGGATCTTATTTTGAGTAAGGAGCTTAGATTCCATTATGTCTACTCCAGGGAATAACTCTAATTGGTCTGCTCTCTATTTTTATCATATTCAACCTGTAGCCAGTGTATTTGATCTTTCTAAACACAAATTTGATCAAGTTCCTCTGCTTTCCCTCTTCCCAGGGCCTCCAGATCCTGTTCCTGCATTTCACTCTGGTTTAGGCTCAAGCTCACTGGCAGATTAGGTTCAGCTCCTTTAAATACCCTTTGATCTCCATTTCTGAGTTTTTTTTTCCAGGTCTCACATCTAAAAAGTGTTTTCTTTAAGGTTAACCTTTTTCACCCCACTAAGGCCGTCCAGACTTTTAAAATCCAAGTTGCATCTCTTTCTTCGGTGCAGTATTCTGATCCTCTTCTATCATTATACTTACTGACCTATATAATTCATTTTTTCTATGTAATTCATGTTCTCAAATTTCTGGAGAGAGTGTTCATGAAGTAGAAGACTATAAAGGTTTCCATTTTATGTCTCAGATCTCTTCTTCATTGAGTCATAACCAGGATTACTAAGTGTTAAGGATAAAATTAATTAGGTCATTAAATTGAACCATAATCTATATTGAAGCTTTCTAACTACTTTGGAATTACATGAAGTTTGCAGTTGTGTTTAAACACTTTTTTGGGGGGTGGGGGGGGCAGTCCTAGGTCTCAAACTCTGGGCCTGGGTACTGTCCCTCAGCTCTTTTTTGCTCAAGGCTAGTGCTATGCACTTTGAGCCACAATGCCACTTCCAGTTTTTTTTCTGTAATTAACTGGAGATAAAAGTCTGACAGGGCTGGGAAGGTGGCTCAGTGGTAGAGTGCTTGCCTCACATGCATAAGGCCTTGGGTTTAATTCCTCACTACCATGTAAGCAGAAGAATCAGGAAGTGGCACTGTGGCTCAAGTGATAAGAGTGCTAGCCTTGAGTTGAAGAGCTGAGGGAGAGCACCCAGGCCCAGACTTCAGGCCCCACGACCAACCAAAAAACAAAAAAGAGTCTAACAAACTTTCTTGCCCAGGCTGGTTCCAAGATCTCAGCCTCCAGAGTAGCTAGGATTATAGGTGTAAGCCACAGGTGCCCAGCTTCAACACTATCTTACTTAAGCAAGACAGAAAACATATTTTATTCATAAAAGTAAAATAAGAAAAGGGAAAGTTGGAACTGGAAAATGATTCAATATCAATCTTGATGCCTGGGTGCCATCTTCTCATGGCAGTAAACTTTTCAACACAAGTATGATTTTTAAAAACCTCCTTCTCTCTCAAAAACTTAAAAGTTAAAAAGAGACAGGCAAAAAAGGAGTGCACGTGCCAACGCTGTCTGTTGGGAAATATGGGAAGATCAATTGATCGAAGTTTAGACACGCTTAGTCTTTTGGCACTGGCAGGTGTAACAATCCAAGGACATCCGCGCGAGGGAGCAAGGCCAATGGCCTCTAAGTAAGTACTGGGGGATGAAAAGGCGACCTGGGGATTTATCTATCTGTTGTCATTCCTTTCCACTGTTGTTACCCTTATCAACCACTCTGTTACAGTCTCAAAATTCTCCACACTTCAACCTACCCTCTACTACCAACTCCCAAAGTTCATGGGCTTGTTTTGTTTTGTTTGTTTCTCATTCTTCACCTTCTGGGGATGTCCCTTGCGCTCTCTTTCTCTCTCCCTCCCCCCCCCCCACCCCTTGAGCCACAGCGCCACTTGTGACTTTTTCTGTTTATATGGCACAGAGGAATTAAACCCAGGGCTTCATGTATGCTAGGCAAGCACTCTACCACTAAGCCACATTCCCAGGCTGTCCCTTGCTCTTAAGACCAAGTTAAATACCCCTTCTGTGACCTGACAGCCCCCTACAACGCACACCTCGGGCATCCACCGTTCACCACGTCCCAGCCCCACCCGCCTCTTTCCTCCCTCCGCTCGGGTCGCACCGCGGTGTGCTAACTGTGTCCTCTGAGGTCTGATTTCCCAAGCCTAGAAGCACGAGTGAATTCTTTCCTGGCTGATCGCTCCTCTCCCCCCCCCCCCCCCCCCGCAGCTTCTCACCAGACATCTGATTATAATTAATGATAGCTATAAATGTGCTGCGAGAACACCTCCACGTTCCCGATGGAAAAATCTGCATCACACCCTGGATTGAGTAACAACTTCTTGGAAAAGTTCTAACCAAGGTTTATTCTAGCACCTCGGGGAGGAAGTAGGGAGAAACAGGAAGGGGGAAACACTTCGGGCTTCCCACGCGGGGAAGGGGCGTTGAAGCCTGCTTGCCTGAGGATCCCTCATTTCTGCCAAGCGCCACGCGGTTGCACACCCTGCCCCACAGGCTCGGTGCTGAGCCCAGCGGCGGATCCCTGAGGACGTCCTGCGCTGGGGTTCTGCCTGGCGCGGTGGCCTTTATACAATTCGGGGTGCCCCGGGTTGCTCTCCCCGACCTGCCCAACCCAGCAGGTTCTGCCAGGATCACGCTCCAACCCCAGCGGGCTCCGACGCCAGGGGACGCGCTGAGGAGCTGGGAGGACGCCCGCGCCGCGCGGCTCCCGGGCGGACCCTCCCGCCAGGTGTCCGGTGGACCCCCAGGTTCACCAGAACTGAGGCTGGTGGCGCTGGAGAACGCCCGAGGGAGAGGCGGGCCACCTCGGAGAGGTGGAGGGAAGTCCCGAGCGGTCGGAGCCCAGGCGAGGGGCGGGGCCTCCCGACCACGCCCCCTCCCCGCTGGGCGCAGAGCCGCCCCGAAGCGATTCAGAGTTGGGTTGCCGCTCTGCCCAGTTCCGACGCCCGCGCACGGCCGGCGGTCAGAGGGTGGAGAGCGACTCCTTCCTCAGGGGCGGGGCTGGAGGCGGGGACTGCGCGTTGAGGGGCGGGGACGTCTGGCCACGCCCCTCCCCGCTGGGCGAAGAGCCGCCCCGAAGCGATTCCGAGTCCGGCAGCCGCTGCGCCGAGTGTGGGCGCCGCGCTCTGCCGCCGTGGAGGCTGCGGCGCTCGGGCAGCCGCCGCGCCGGCCGAGGGGAAGGTGGAACCTGCCAAGCTGGCGCCCGGCGGGGCCTCAGGGGGCGGCGAGCTGGCGGGGACTGCGGGGCCGGGCCTCCTGGCCCTGCTGCTGGCGGTGTGTGCTCCGCTGCGGCTGCAGGCGGAGGAGCTGGGTGAGTGGAGCGGATCGCGTCTGGCGGACTGCGGGATCCGGGACGCCGCGGGCCCGGCCTGGAGGGACGGGGGGCCGGGGGGAAGTGGGGTCCTGCGCGTCCCGCTCTGCCAGGCCGCGCCTGAGGTCCCACCCCCCACGAAAATCAACCCAGCCCCTCTCCACTTGTCTCCCCCGCTGTCCCCCTGTCCAGATGGCTTCGCTTTTCCAGACCTTTCGACTCTGCCGGCCCCAGTGGAGTGACATGGCCGGAGAGGGGGGGGTCGCCCTCGGGGACACTCGGGGGCCAAGTCGCTCGTCTCGTTCAGTTGTGGTGTGCGATGGTCGGCTTGAGTTGAATGGCTGGGCCGCGGTTCCCCCGCCGTGGCCTCCGTGCAGGCGGCGGCCACACGGTACCCCCCTTCTCTCGAGCGCCCTGCTTGGACCCAAGTTGGAAATCTTGCACATTGGATCCTCCTAGGGTATTTAAGACGTGGACCCCACCAGGCTGCCCTTTCTCCCTACCTGGCTCTTGGCTTCGAGTTCCACCTAAGTAGCCCACCATACAATTTACCCTCTCGTCCACCAGGCGAATGCAGCAATGGGATGGATTGACCACCCCTAGGCCCTAGATGACTTTTTTGGGGGGTGGTCGGTCATGGAGCTTGAACTCAGGGCCTGGCCACTGACCCTGCGTTTTTGTGCTCAAGGCCATCGCTACAGTTCTAACCACTTTGAGTCACAGCTCCACTTCCGGTTTGAGGTGGTTGATTGGAGATAAGGGTCTCCTGGACTTTCCTGACTGGGCTGGCTTTGAACTGCGAACTTCAGGGCTCAGCCTCCTGAGTAGGTGGGATTACAGGTGTGAGCCACTGGTTCCCAGGTGGTTCTTAGTACTTTATTAATCCTTGCTAATTTTTTTTTTTTAATAGCAAAGAGCAGGTTTCTGCCTAAGGTTTTTGTTTTTTCCGGTTTGCCTCTCTTCTCCCTTGTGCTGTCCCTATAGAACAGGTTATTTAATATCAGGGAGTCTATGAAAAATACTTTGATGACCCACCATTGTGCTTTCTGTTGAGACCAGATCTAAAGCTAAACCCAACCTGGCATTTTTCCAGCAGACTATGCATTCATTCCAGCCTGAAATACATCCTCAGTAGGCTGGTAGTGGTATTTGCATATCGTGTTTGTGTTTTTTTTTTCTTCAAGCTATTTAGGTTATTTTGTATAGAGTCACAATAGCAGAATATCACACATATGGTAAAACTGTAATGTTTATGTAGAGTGTTGTTGAATATGTGTAGTGGGTATTTTAAATAAATTTAAAGAAGTTTTTTTTTGGGGGGGGTCCGGCCGTGGGGCCTGAACTCTGGGCCTGGGCACTGTCCTTCAGCTCTTCAGCTCAAGGCGAGCGCTCTACCACTTGAGCCACAGCACCACTTCTGGCTTTTTTCTTTTTGCTTATGTGGTGCTGAGGAATGGAACCCAGGGCCTCAGGCATGCGAGGCAAGCGCTCTACCACTGAGCCCCCTTCCCAGCCCCAAATTTAAAGAATTTTAAATTCTTTCCTCGAGTCACTGTTTGAAAATGCACATGCATTTATGAATCTATTCAACAATATGACCTTGAATAGTTTGGTTAGAGCTGTTATCTCTTCCCTCCCTCACTCCCTCTCTTCTTTCTTTTCTTCCTTCCTCACCGCTAGGTCTCACTATGTGGCCCAGGGTTGGTGTAAAACTGGTGATCTTCCTGCCTCCCCCACCCCAAGTTCTGAGATTACAGGCCTTCCCCAAACCCAGCACTGTCATTCATTTTTTTCATGAAATTTCAGACTTCATATTCTCTGCCAGTCTGTCAATTGGGCACTTTACAAAACAGTTCCCTGGGAAGAAATAGGACTGTTTAAATTTTTTTCTGCTCAGCTTCTTTATTTATTTTATTATTTTATTTTATTTATTCATTTATTATTTTTTTTTGTCGGTTGTGGGCCTGAACTTTGGGCCTAGGCACTGTCCCTCAGCTCTTCAGTTCAAGATTAGCGCTCTACCACTTGAGCCACAGCGCCACTTCCGGCTTTTTCTGCTTATGTGGTGCTGAAGAATCAACCCAGGGCCTCATACATGCAAGGCAAGCGCTCTACCACTGAGCCACCTTCCCAGCCCCAGGACTGTTTAAATCTTATTGAGCTTTATGTGTGAGAGTTTATTACCTTTGACTGGCAGAAGAACATAAATGTCATTTGCGTTTCTGTGAAACATCTTCGTATGTTCAAGACATGTTTTAAAATGCCAGTTACACAGACACTAAGGTTAGTGTTTGGGATATTTACTGAAATAAGATGTTTTCTAATAATTCTGGTGCCCATAATTCTTCTGTGAAGGGACATAATGATTATTGAATGCTTCTCCTATTTGTGATGTTTCCAAACTGACTGTGGGCAATGTATTTTTGAAGTATGCACAGATTAAAGCATGTACTCCTGTTGCAGTCCTTGAGATATACTGCATATAGTTGGGTGATGGTCATAAGTGATATTAGTACTTGTATTGGTTAGAACAGTGTTAGTGTAAAAAAAAATCCCAACTTTTGTTTATGTCATTTATTTGTCCCATATTTTTGGCACAAGAGTTTAAATGCAGGGCTTCATGCTTGCTATGCAGGTACTCTTCTACTTGAGCCACATACTCCTTACTCTTTTTTGCTTTAATTTTTTTTATTATTGTTTTTTCCAAATAGAGGCTTACATTTATGCCTGGACTAACCTGGGATTACAGGGATGAGCCACAGTACCTGGCCCTTTATTTTATTTCTTGGTAGAGAGTCACTCTGTATCCTAGGCTAACCTAGAATTCTAGATAATCCTGCCTCAGTTCCAGGGTGCTGAGATTGTGGTTGTGCACTACTACACTGGCTTCATGATAACCTGTTTTTATTGAGGAGAAAATACCTCTTATTGTGTGTAACCTTTGTTGTTTCCTAGTCAGCGTGTGGCGGGACTTCTTGGTTCCCTAGGCTCCCTAACCTTTGCCCAAACTTTCTAAAACTCCATACTCACCTCCTCCCCCACGCCTCCTGCCTTTTCGGTGCTTGAACGCAGGGCCTGGGCGTTGCCCTGCTCTTACCACTTGAGTTGTAGCTCCACTTCCAGCTTTTTGGTCCAACTTCTTGATTCTGAATCAGATTTCCAGAAGGTGAGGCCTAAGAATGTGCAAGCTCACTGGGCGCCTGTGGTTCACGCCTGTAATCCTGAGATCTGAGGATCAAAGCCAGCCCAGGCAGGAAAGACCAAGACTCCTATCTCCAATAAGCCACCAGAAAACCAGAAGTGGTGCTGTAGCTCAAGTGGTAGAGTGCTGGCCTTGAGCTGACGAGCTGAGGGACAGCGCCCAGGCCCAGAGTTCAAGCCCCACAACCAACCGAAAAAGGAAAAAAAGAATGTGCAATCTCACTTAATAATTCCCACCCTAATCTGTCTGGTGATGGTAGAAGTGTTTTCTAGTATTAGGATTGTGCTACCATGAATGTTCTTGGACATTTTCTCATTTTGTTTTGGGGAAAATGTCATCATTTAACCTAATTTATGGGAGCCCGATCAATTAGATTATTAGAATTTTTATGTTTGTTAGGGTCTGTGGACATTGTATAGATGGTACTTGTATCAGGCTTTTGTTCAGTTCATTTAAAAAGTACCCACTCCTCCCAGTGCCAGGCCCAGGTACTTGCCAGTCTGGGCTAGTTTCAGCTCCTCTTTGCCCTTTTCCACGGGACCCCCCTCAACACACGTCAAAATTTTTGCTGATTGTGTCACATGACTTTTAACTTTTTTTTTTTGTCAGTCATGGGGCTTGAACTCAGGGTCTGGGTGCTAGCCCTGAGTTCTTTTTTTCTTAAGGCTAGTGCTCTACCACTTTGAGCCAAAGCACCACTTCCAGTTTTCTGGGTTAGTTTGAGATCAGAATTGCATAGACTTTCCTGCCTAGGCTGGCTTTGAATTGGGATCTTCAGATCTCAGCCTCTTGAGTAGGATTACAGGTGTGAGCCACCAGTGTCTGGTGAATTTAACTTTTCATAATATGACAAATACATTGCTGTTTATATTTGTAGAAAACCTTACATGATAACCGGGACTTGGGTCAACCGGTTGACTTCTAAAGATGTGTAGGTTCAAATCGTGGATACTTACAAATTACTTTTGAAAAAACTGCTCAGCTCATAATTTGTTACTATTAAAAGGTCTACACTGTAGTCATCACTTGTGTATATTTGGTTAGACATGAGATCTACTGATATCTGATGTTTTAGGTGAGTGGCTTCTTAAAACTGTAAGTACAAGTTTATTCTGGCACCTTCTGCCCCATAAGTCCTGCAGTCTCTCAGACTTTCCCCGATCTTATCTGTCCAGGGGAAAGTCTGAGATTCAGTCAGGCTTGTAGGCTGTAAGTTCCTGAGGGAGTGACCAGAGCTGTTAACTTTGTCTTCCTTGCATGGGATAAAGGCACTGTTGACTTGAACAGTCTCTTTGTGTTCAGGAGATATTTTCAAACCATTTCTTAATGAGTGGAAACTAAGTAATAAAATGCCTACTGGAGTTCTTTATGAAGGTAAGTCTGCTGCTAACACTAATTAATTTTGTTTCTCAAGCCAGGTCTTCTGGCATGCTTGCTTCATATATGTAAGGATGCCTTTTAAGTGGAAGGGCAGCAGAAAAGGGAATGAGCCAGAAGAACAGTGTGTACAGAGCTCTGGGCCCTGGTGGTGATAATTAGCAACACTTAGAAACATTAAGTTATACCATGTATTTCAGAAAAGAAAGGAGTTCTGTTAAAGTATTCGGTAAACAGATCAAACTATCTTATTAAATGTTGTCTCACACTGAGTTTATTAACTTTTTGTCTTGTAAGTTGAACTCTTAAACCTGGTGTATACTGAAATAGACTTGCATATCATATGGAAAAACCATAATGGGACATCTGACACATGAGGAATTATGTTTTTATGCATACATTTTTTTTGTGCCAGTTTTGG